ACTGAAATTCTTAACTTCTTTGTGGCAAGCGAATTTAGCATTAAAGGTCGCAGTTTGGGTTTATGCAAAACTTTTATTTACGCGTTGCTAGCATTCCTGCTCCTTCAGATACTTTCAGCGGTATTTCCCCTTCTGTTTCTACTGCTCCCCCGTACGTAGCATAATTTTATTTGTTTTTCTTTTCTTTTAATTTAATTTGATGCTGATGAAATAATAGGATATGTTTGTTATACTGTGCTGCACGAACTGTGCCAAGCTGTTTTAAATGGGCCTCTTATCATCAAGTTTTTTTTAGTTCTGTCTCTGTTCTCAAAGCTGGGGATAGGATTAAAGAAGATCTCGAACCTCATCCTTCGCACTTCTTGTGTTTTGTTTGCGGGGGTGGCTGCTGCATCTGAAAGTCAGCGGTTGAATCCGCTGCCCTGTAGTTAGAAATTGGACAAAATACATTTTCAGTTGGCATAATAAAAATTTATGTGCGCCTGTGGGAGTCGCCAAAAAGGCGAGGGAAGGAAGCATTTGTGGTGCAGATGTATTACTCCAGCCAGAGTTTTTCTTTTTTTGACGTGATTGCGCAGCCGTTGGCTTTCCACGTACTCTACCTTACAGCGGTTCTTTGAAACAGCTGTAGGTTCCTATTTTCAGTATTTCCGGAACAAACGGTTGGTGAAAATAAAGGAATTTATTAATCGGCGAAAAAAGCGAGGGATGAGTCTCGCTGTGCCAGCAGAAGCTCCCCAGCCAAAAAAATTCCGACTGTCGCTGCCTACGCAGGTAATTAGATTTAAACATTAAAAAAACTGCTCTGTTTCCTGCACATTCAGTTCTTTCGTTAAGAAATACAATAAACTCTGTTATGGCTCGAACAATAATACCTTTTTTTGTCGCTGGAATTTTGGCTTTGACTTTTCGAGTCCTGATTTTTTTTAAATTGTAGGTGGTTGTGCAAAGACCATCATTTACATACCAGAATAGCAGCAGCCCATTGGAGCTCGATGAA